GCTCGCTTCTTTTAGAGACTGAACTAACTCCAGAACAAAGAGTTATGATAGAGACGGTGCTGAAGAGTAGCAACCTTTTGGCAACACTAATCAATGATGTTCTCGATCTTTCAAGACTTGAAGATGGCAGCCTAGAATTAGACTTTGGGGTGTTTACTCTTCATGGACTCTTCAAAGAGGTAACCAACGGTGATTTTGTACATTTTTTTAGCATAGAAATTGCAATAATTTTGCTTTTCCAGTTTAAGTTTAGTAATCATTTTTATATTTCTATAATTTTAGGTTATTAATCTGATCAAGCCCATTGCATCCCTAAAGAAGTTATCTATGACTATGATCCTGGCACCTGATTTGCCAAAGTATGCTGTTGGCGATGAGAAACGGCTTATGCAAACCATTTTAAATATCATGGGGAATGCTGTGAAGTTCACAAAGGAAGGTAATGTTTCAATTATAGCGTCAGTTGCAAAACCGGAGTCGTTAAGGGACTGGCGACCTCCAGAATTTTACCCAGTGTCAAGTCAAGGCCACTTCTACTTACGAGTGCAGGTTCTTGACTGCTTCAGTTAAACTTCATTTCATCTTGTTTTGCTTCTATTCTATTTAACTTTTAACTGCATGATCATAAAAGCATCTCCTGGTAATTCGAATTATGCTGTTTAGGATTTCCAATTGTAGTGTTCGTTTATGACGTACAATCCGATGAATAGCCATCCATGTATTGTTATGGAGACCATCGGATATTACTTGGATGCTGCACATGCCTATTACCTATCATCTACTCTGTGGCAGGTTAAGGATTCTGGTTGTGGTGTTCTGCCACAAGATATACCACTTCTTTTTACCAAATTTGCACAGCCGCGTAGTGGATCCAGTCAAAATAGTGGTGGAGGTGCTGGACTTGGACTTGCCATTTGTAGAAGGTAAAACAAAAATCCCCGAGTATCCTCTGCACAAGAAATATTTGGTCTTTACCCTTATAATCGGACAATTCACAGTAGCTATAAAAAATGCTTATGCTATGCTTGTCAAAATCGGACCGGACTGCCTGATTAAACTTGTATGATAAGGTAAAAAATTGTACGTACGATTAAAATCTGTTATCGAATCGATAGTTCAACTGGCCGAACAGGTTGAGTAAAAAAAACCTGTGATTCGATCAACAATCTGCAGATTTGTAGGACGTTGAGTTGTACGTTATTAAATGTTGAATCACAGGTTTGTGAATCTGATGGGAGGCCACATATGGATGGAGAGTGAAGGCCTTAACAAAGGTAGCATAGCAACATTCCTCGTCAAACTCGGGATCTGTAATAACCCGAATGATTCATCTATCCATCATCAAGTTTCACCCCAAGTTAGAGCTCATCATGGAAGTGCAGATCTGACCGGACAGAAACCTACCTTAAGAGACACCGATAGGAGTGTTTCATCTATTGCGCGATATCAAAGAAGCCTTTAGATGATTGTGGGGGCCGAAGTTGCGACGGGCAAATGTTCTGATTTTCCATTTTCTTCTTATTGATCTATGTTAAAGTTGAGAAATGCTGTTTAAATTAATGAAATAATTTACCCTGATAAAAGCTGCTAGAAGCTATCCCGTTAACGAGGTAAGAGCACAGTTAAGTTTGATTAGAAACAGTGAAACACAATGAAGATATGGTTCAAAGGTTTACACCAAAGCTCACTTGACCGTTTTACAGATTTATTCCTAGTGATTAAGAAAATGACTATGCTTTTTGCTTTAAGTACATATACTATATTTAGTCGAAACAAATCCCTACTAATCCCTCAACTATTAATTATAACTACTCTTAAGTGTTGCATTTTTTCAGATATAACATCCTTTCGACCAATGAGATATACAAATTCTTTCAGATATATTTATGTACTTAGGCTACATATAATAGTTTAGGGACTTGTTTTGGCAAAAAAAAAATTAGTTTAGGTACTTAAATACAAGACATAGTTTAACAACTTTTTTAGTTTAAACCTTCGAAAATCAACAAAACCACGGATGTAACTGGCTTAATCCACCTAAAAGAACAAAGTTCATATCGACCAAAAAACACGAAACACTGGCTCGACAAAATTACTTGGACACACTAATATCTAAAGCCACGGTCTATCACTCATCTTGAGTACATAACCTTCTTACTTCTTGGACTTCTTGGAAACCCTGAAAGATTAAAAAAAAAGGAAAAATAAATTTATATTTACTTAAAAACACTTATCCTTTAACAAAAGAAATTCAAATCAAAGATACACTTACACGGCAGGTTGAGCAGCTGCCGCAGGTGGTGATGCAACTGGCTTATCTCTTCCACCAGGTCCCTAAACAGATTTAAGGGGGAAAATAAAACATAAAAACCCAAGTCATAACTTCAGAAGGAAAATAACTATCCGCATATCTATTCCACATAAAGCATCCCATTATGCTCGTTGCATGCCCAAAGAACCACAAGATACAAATGTTATTACCTGGGCCAAACGCTCCTCTCTCCTGGCGAATTTTCTTTCCCTGCTTGCCTTATTCTTAGCCCTTTTCGCTTCAAACTGGTCAGCCAATGTCTTCTCTCTGGCCTTTTCAGCCTTGGATTTGTGGATGCTCTCCATGAGAACTCTCTTGTTCTTAAACACATTACCCTTGACTTTCATGTACATGTCATGGTACATGTGCTTGTCAATCTTCTTTGATTCCCTGCATTTGCGAAGCAAGCGTCTCAGAACACGCATCCTCCTCATCCACAAGATCTTTGTGGGCAACCTTGCCTCCCTTGTACCCTTGCGCTTACCTAAAATCAGAATAAAAATATTAAACCCAGCTAATCGATATATGCATAAATTACTCAATATGAATCACAGTCTTTGATGGCTAACAAATGATTCCTCTCAGAATTAAGCATCTCCACATTACTGCATCTCATCTTTAATAAAATGATTCTGACATCATAACTTTGGAAACAAGATGTTTAATCAAGGTTCAAGTATATAATCTGATACAGAATCTGTAAGCATGTCAACCTTCTCTCCACCGACAAATAACATCAAATCCAGCAAATCTAAGAACCATAGTGTACAAAGAAAAGCGTACCATATCCAGAGTGACGTCCCTTTCTCTTGGCTTCCTTCATGCGACGTGCGCGTGATCGAGAGTGAATCTTGGTTGGCTTCCTGATGATGAAACCATCTTTAACTAGCTTCCTTATATTCTGGCCTGTAACTCCCATTCATGATCAAAATTGAACATTAAAATAACAAACTCTTGTGCTAAGCTACAGACAGATAAACAACTCCATATACTATCCAATTCTATTACGACTATGACATAACATCAGCTTGAACTTACTATTAATAGTTCACAACTTCAGATGAAAAATTTCTTATTTATCAGTGGAGCAAACAAGGAACTTTTAAAAACAATTAAATTTATACAACTCCAGTAGCACTCTATTACTAACGTGAAAATTTGACTTTCTACAGCAGGAAATCTCTGGTCAATTGGTGTAGCTTTTGCAGTACGTTTTAGCTGAAAATATTTTAATTTTTATCAACAAGTTAATAAACAAACAATAGAATAATCAGAATCTGAATTGTAAAAATGCTAAAGCTCATCTGAGAAGATGTATATAACGCTCTACCGTCATAAATCAGTAAAAGGGAAAAGGGCTTAAAAGTGAAATATATCAGCTATCACAGTTGACAGACTTAATTTCTAAAAAAATTAAAAACACTTGGCTTCATTTCCACAAACATCTGGCAACAAACGGTGCGATAATCAAGTTCAAGTCATATCTCAACTTAAAAGAAGATGAACATGAAAACTATAAATGTTAAGGCAATGATTAAAAAGGAGGAAAAAGAAAAGAGAAAACGTACGAGAGTTCGCCATGGAGATCTCGTTAACTTCATTCGGATCGAGCCAAACCTTTCCTTTTCCACACTTCAAAACGCTCGCTGAGAGCCGTTTCTGGAGCTTAAGCGAAACCATCTCTCTCTTCTTCTCGTCGGTGATACAGCTAACTGCTGTTAGCGAAGACGGATGAGAAGGAAGTGATAGCGGCTTATTTATATGAACGCCTTAACCCTAGGGTTTGGAGGGAGCTGCTTGTTTTTGATTTTGGATCGGGTTTTTAATATCTAGCGGTTGATTTTAGTACGCGTGTCCTTTTAGTTAATTTGGATATCTCTTCTTCAAGGTGTCCTAATTTCTTTTGATATATGATTCATTTGGATATCGTAAATCTTAATTATAAGAACGTTTTTTTTTTAATTCAGTTTGTTTTACTCATAATTTTAAAATTTAAATTTTATTTGAAAATTTATTAGAAGTATATTGAATATTAATATTCGAAGATTTGATTCATTTGCATAAATGTATAATAAGTTTAATTTATCAATTGAAGGGTATTATAATAATTATCTCTAAATATATAGAGAAAATCATACTATTATCTCGAATCATATTAGGTCAGATATTTTTTCACCTTAGACATAAATTTGATCCGACCTTATCCTTTGTAAAACTCGACTCAACTTTATAAGATCAAGTCAAAATCGTCGGATTCAAATCAAATTGTCATCCTAATTCTAATCGATCAACTAATAGATATATCAAATAAAATGAAATGATCAAATGCCAGCTATAATTATTGCACAAAGAATCAATTACAAATGTTGCCTCTATGTATAAAAAATTATAAAAACAGATTTGGGTTAGCTTAAATGATACTCAAACATTTTCAGAAAGTGGGTTCGTGCAAAGATTGGATTCAATCCACAGGGAAATATAAATGTAATACAAGTTAGTGGTACTCAAGTCTGCAGATGTTTCAGCATCATGCAACCAAATCATTCTAAAGCCAAATTCTTTTATTTCTTAATCCTTGGAGCATTACAGCAGACATTCCAATATATAAAGGACAATGAAGCTAATCCCTTGCACTTCATCCCATAATCTTTCTTCTCTTTGTGCTCGGTAGTTAACAGTTGGGAAAACCATGGGTATTGCCTGTCCCTTGTTGGCTGCCTCCTTGCTTTTATGTTCATTGCTTGCCATTGCTTCTGCCAATGACTATGGCGTTTATGATTCATCCAAAACACAAGCTTATGGTTATGGTACTGCAAAGCCAGTCAACCAACAACAGGTGGAAAAGGAAGAGAAGACTGATTATGGCAGTAAGTCGAATGTCTATAAATCACAGCCAGAAGAGAAGGGAAAGCCATTGTTAGAAGCAACAGCAAGTATCGGTTACGGCACAAAATCAGCTTACAAACCACAACCAGAAAAGCCTGATTATGGCACTAAGCCAAACTCCTATAAACCACAGCCAGATCAAGAGAAAGAGAAGCCAATGCCAGAAGAGACAGAAAATTCTGGTTATAGCACAAAACCAGAAAAGCCAGAGTCAAAACAGGAAGAAAAGCCAGAGTCAAAACAGGAAGAAAAGCCTGACTATGGCACCAAGCCAAATTACTATGAACCACAGCCAGATCAAGAGAAAGAGAAGCCAATTCCAGAAGAGACAGAAAAGTCTAGTTACAGCAAGAAACCAATCTACCAACCACAACCAGAAAAGCCAGAGTCAAAAGAGGAAGAAAAGCCTGATTATGGCACCAAGTCAAACTCCTATAAACCACAACCAGATCAAGAGAAAGAGAAGCCACTGCCAGAAGAGACAGAGAAGTCTGGTTACAGCACAAAACCAGTCTATCAACCACAACCAGAAAAGCCAGATTCAAAGCAGGAAGAAAAACCTGACTATGGAACCAAGCCAAATTACTATAAACCACAGCCAAGTCAAGAGAAAGAGAAGCCAATTCCAGAAGAGACAGAAAATTCTGGTTATAGCACAAAACCAGTTTATTATCAACCACAACCAGTAAAGCCAGAGTCAAAACAGGAAGAAAAGCCTGATTATGGCACCAAGCCAAACTACTATAAACCACAGCCAGAAGAGACTGAAAAGCCTACTTACACCACGAAACCAATCTACCAACCACAACCAGAAAATGAAGAAAAACCTGGTTATGACGCTAAAAATGACTTCAATCTGCAGCTACCAGAAGACAAAGAAAACCCAAAGTTAGAAAATGAAGAACACCCAAATTACAACGCAAACCCAGTCACGGATTTCTACAAACCAAAACCTGAAGTTCTTCCCGTTGGTGTTGAAGGGCTTGTTTTATGTAAATCAGGTCCCAAGCATTACCCAATTCGAGGTAAACTATTTAACACACACAGAATTTAATCATTCGTATTTATGTTTAAGACTCTCCCTAATTCAGCTCATTTTTTGGGTGATATTTGTTTCAATGAGCACAGGAGCTTTGACAAGGATAACGTGTCTAACTGTTGATGAAAATGGGCACGAGAAGACTCACTCGGTTTGCAGCGGAGAAACTGATGAACACGGTTACTTCTTGGCGAGATTGTCTCCTTCAGGCCATGACGACGTCGATCTGTGGAGCAAGCTCAGAGATTGCAAGGCGTTCCTTGAGAGCTCTCCGTTGGAGACCTGTAACGTTCCCGTGGATGTCAACAAAGGCATTAGTGGCGCTCCGCTTTCTGGTTTCCGTGTTCTCCATCATATGGGGATGAAGCTTTTCTCCGTGGGACCTTTCTTCTTCACCCCTCAACTTACTCCAGTCCCCAATGGCTATTAAACAGCTTAATTCTTTTATTTTTATTATAATTTATTTATCTGTCGTATGTTTTGGACCTTTTCGTTTTGAAGAAGGCGAGTATTTGATTTTTATAAAAATTGATTTGTTCTTGTAATGCGTATAGAGCCTATTTCGCTCTGTTAATAATTATTAAGATATTTGTTTTGGAGATTATTTGCAGAGATTTATTTATTTATACATGTTATATAAATTATTTTATCAATTACTCATCATTTTATAAATTTATTTTTTATGATAAATTATTTTATAAATTTATTTTTTATGATAAATTATTACTGTTATATAACATTATATCATATTATATCAATTACTCATCATTTTTAAAAGATATTTTTCAAATACTCTTTTTATCTTAAATTTTTATTTTCTTAAAATTAAATCAATTGATACTAGGGATTGTCAAAATACCTAAACCCGATTTGACTCTATAGGAGTGGGTTTTTTGTTTGTTTTAAATTTCGAGTTCGGAATGGGTTGGGACATATTATATAACAGAGAAAGTCAGGGTCAGGGTGAAATCGGGTTTAAGGTAAAAAATTATTGACCCGACTCTATTTAAATTACAAAAGTACCTTATATATAATATATATTTAAATTTTACCGCTTTAGGGTTTTGCCTTTTTTTAGTTTGCCTCTTACCTCTCATTCTTCTCGATTAGATCCAGTAAAGAAAAGAAGGCTGTAAAATTTACCTCTTCAATCTTCATTCTATTTTTATTTCAAATATTAGTTATCTTCTTTCATGAACTTTCCAAGATTAATTATTATTAGATTTTGTTCTTTTTCTTTAGTTCTTCATTTGATTTTTTTTTCCAATTTTTTCAGGATACTGCCATTAAAATCTGGTATTTGCATTTAACTTGTTCATTTATCTAGTTCAACTTCATCCTTCACTGCCATTCCATTTAAGAACAGGCGCCAGACTCACCATTTGCTGGAGAAACTGATGCTTGAAGTGTGAATGGTAGATGTGATTTTTTATTTGTTTTCTATTTGTTTTCCTTTCGTAGTAAAAAAAAGAAGAATTTCCAGCAATTAATTTAAATGCAACACACTGTTATAAGGTGTTAAAAATATTATGTGTTTAAAATACGTAAATTTGAAATCATCGAGTCGGGTCGGAGTTTTGTTCTAAAAACTGAGGCGGGAGAAAGGTTAATGATCATCGGAACGGGCGGGTTGAAATAATTTATTTTCGGGTCAGAATCAGGGCGGTCAAAAACTCACCCAGTCACGTGCCCATCCCTAATTGATATAAAAATATTAGACTTATTAAGTTAGGGGATAGGGATAGAAAAAGAAGAAAAAACATAAAATTTCAAATAGTACTTTTGATCGAAAAATTAATCTGATTTATTTCTAAGTTATTTTATATTTTTACCAATGTTGAACATTAACTATTTTTCTTTAGTATAAAAAAGTAAAAAATATTTAAAAATATCCAATATTTTAAAGAATTGTATATAAATAAAATAAATAAATTAAAATTACAAAAAATATAAACAAAAACTAGTAAGAAGATAAAATACTTTATGTTAGTTTAATTTTTTTTCTCTGGTTAATTCAATTATATAAAAAAATTAAAAGTTTGAGTAAAAAATAAAAACAATATATATTTTTAAAGTCGAGGACTAAATTTAACTTTTTACTTTGTAGTTTGTTTTAAACCATACTGTAATACATAGTAACACAAAAGAAAATGTTTTTTTAATAATAATTTCATTTACAATTGGATTTTCCAACTCTAGTCCAAGACCTCTGTGCATAGTGTACCAAAAGATGCAAGCTCTTATGAAAGATATGTAAGTATTCGATTTATGATTTAATTGAATTTATAATCATTTGATTTTTGAATCAATCGAGTTAATAAATCTATTATGATGAAATTAATAAATATTTAATTTATAGGTATGTAAGTAATATTAGTTAGTGGTGCTCAAGTCTATAGATGTTTATGACATCGTGCAACTAAATCATTGTAAAGACTGCTTCCTTCTTTGCTTAATCATTGGGGCATTACATCGCACCGAACTTCCTAATATATAAAGGACAATGAAGGTCACCCCTTGCGCTTCATCCCATCGTCTTTTCTTCTATTCGTGCTCGATAGTTGACAGTGGGAAACCATGGCGATCGCCTATTCCTTGTTGGCAGCTTCATTGCTGTTATGCTCATTGCTTGTCACTGCTTCTGCCAATGATTATGCTGCTTATGGAACTAAACCAAACTCCTATAAACCACAGCCAGAAGATGAGGAAAAGGCAATGCCAAAAGAGACGGAAAAGCCTGGTTACAGCACGGAACCAGTCTACCAAAAGCAGCCGGAAAAGGAAGAAAAGCCTGATCGTGGCACTGAAAATGACTTGTACCAACAGCAACCGGTAGAAAATCAAAAGCCGGAGTTCGAAAATGAAGCCAAGTCTGATTACCCAAACATCAACAAGCCACAACCAGAAGCATATAAAAAACCAGACTTGTATCCAACAACACCTGAAGTTCTCCCCATTGGCGTTGAAGGGCTTGTTTTATGTAAATCAGGTCCCAAGTATTATCCAATTCAAGGTAAACTATTTGGCACAAAACACTATTTATGCATTCATATTAATGTTTAAGACCGTATCTAACTCAGCACCTCGTGTTTTTTCTCGACTTTGTTGCAATGAACACAGGAGCTTTGGCGAGGATAACATGTGTAGCTGTTGACGAGAATGGATACGAGATGACTCACTCTATTTGCAGCGGAGAAACTGATTCAAAGGGTTACTTCTTTGCAAGATTATCTCCTTCAGGCCTTGATAACGAGGGTGATAAATTGAGCAAGCTCACAGATTGCAAGGCTTTCCTTGAAAGCTCTCCATTGGAGAACTGTAATGTTCCCGTGGATGTCAATAAAGGCATTAGCGGCGCTCATCTTTCGGATTTCCGTCTTCTCCACCATATGGAGATGAAGCTTTTCTCCGTAGGACCTTTCTTCTTCGACTCTCAACCTAATTCGGTCCCTAATGGTTACTAAACAAACAGCTTAATTCTTCTATTATTATTGTTTGCCGTCTGCTTTGGTATTGAAGGAGACTGGTGTTCATTTCTGTGTAATTTATTTGTTCTTGTAATGTTCAAAGAGCTTAATTTGCTCTGTTAATAATTCCCGAATATGTTTTTTTATCGGATGTTTGATGATTTTTTCCCCAAAAGCACGAAAAGAAAACCATATTACCATACTAATTAACATTACAAAATAATTAATAGTTAATAATATTAACTTCCATGAAGAAAAAAAACACAATGAATGTTATAATATGTGGTTTGATCTGAAAAGCTTGTGATATAATCTGTTGGATAGAAAAAATAAATTGACAAAATAGAAAAGAAGAGATCTATGGTGGATAAAAAGATTCTTGAATCGAAATCCACCATCAATCCCAACAGGGGCACCATGTGGTAACCAATGAAGCGGATGGAGACAATCGTCTCCCTAAAAATTTTAAATTTTTATATAATTTAGATATTATATTTATATTTTCTGTTAAAAATCTGTTTTATAAGTTTATCTCCCTTAAAATTTTATAAGTTAACCCCTTTCAATATAAAATCTTGCTTCTATCCCTACGTGTGGTACCAATCTAATTACACACAAAGTCCGTACATAACTATTCTTCTTTTATTAGAAAAGTGAAAATTAATATTAAATTAGATTATTGTAATATTAGATCTTTTTCTCATTAAGTAATCAATCCTAATAAATAGATAATAAGAATTAAGAATAAATGACTTATTGTAATATTAGATTTTTTTCTCATTAAGGATTCAACCCTAATAAATAGATAATAACAATAACAACAAAACCCAATTCCCATATACAATGGGGTAAGGGGAGGTAGGGTAGTAGGTTGCCCCCAACGTCAGGTTGAGAGTAGCTTCCGTAGAAGACATCCGGCAGTCAAAAAATTAAAAATATAGATAAAATGCAAAGCATGTATAAATAAATACATAAATACATAGTTGAACAGTATTCATATGCAGTCATAAATATCATTAATATACTATGATCATTTTTCATACCGAGTATCTTTACAAGTGTATACTCAACTCTAACACTCTTTTTCTTTTACACACAGTGCCTGCCTTGATCCAGCGTCATCTTACTTGACTCCTGGTTAATTTGGTTTAGAGCGTCTAACAAAATACATAGGGATTATGGACAAATGAAGTAAATTTTACGATAAGAAAAAACAGTAGGTCTTAGCTCTATGTGGGACAAAACTTCATACCCAAGCTCGCAGCCGGCTGGGTCAACTAGTTGGATTTATTGGATCCATTATTTGAATTAGCACTCAAGGATTTGGTTATTTTCTGTTGAGCTTGGCCGGCTGCAACCGATGGACCATCCTAGAACACCCAGGATTAAATCGACCCTTGAACAAGCATTAACCTGAGAAACAAATAAGTGGTTTGCTGATCGCGACATTTAAAAAAGCATAAACTCTCTCATAAATGAACACAGACACAGAAGAAAATCGAAAACGAAAAGGTAAAAGGAATACAGGGAAACAAAATGAAAGTAGATGTGAACACAGTACCAAAATTTCAAGGTTGGCTTCAACATGAAATAACATGGCGGCCATTCCCCTTCCCCTATCCATCTCGGCCTAAGAAATGTAGAATTGTTATGGAACTAGCAAAGTTTTGACAGTCAAGAAGCAAATTGCGTGATAGACGAATTTAAATCACTCACCGCACAGGAACATATGGCGATGCCTACAGACGCCAATGCCGTTGTGACCTCAGCCATCATCCCTAAAATCATGTTTGCAATTAAACGCTTTAGCCAAAAGGAAAAGAGCTGGTATAACCTAAAAGTTTGCAAAAATGTCATACTAAATCTAAATGCTCAGTTTAGGATCTCCCCAACAATGTTCTAAGAATTTACTAGTGCACTATTGGGATAGCTTGGTAGGATGATCCATACTATGACAGTCAGCAGAATAACGAAGCAAGTCACCAGGGTACTCTAATTCAATTATCTCATGGAACCCCTCCTCCCAAGTCTTCCCAGAAAACCCGGAAATGCGTACTTTTTTCCATTCCAATAGTTTGGATTTTTATACCGCATATAATAAAGACCTTATAATGAAAGGGTTGCCATATGATTTACCTCTTCGGTCTATGCAAACCACAGAAAACCACAGAATTGAATGTCCTTCAAGATTGTGCCACAAGGCAATTTTACTGGCTTGCCAATTCTCAAGACCAGGCAATACCTCAGGTGGCGGAATGTTTGTAGGTATCATTTTCACAGCACCATTGGCCCGTGATAACATGTTCCCATTGGCCATCAAACTCACAGGCTGTAAATATTTGTTAAGTTTCCCATTGACCTTAGGGGTCCAAATATTTTCACTTTTTGTAGCCAATGCATCTTCATAACTTCCTTGCGATGACGAGTCCACAGCGTTCCCCAGGATTTTCTCCCATAGAGGTTTTTTCTGTCTGGAAAACTCTTCCGATTCACTCTCCTTTTCAGAGTCACCAATGAAGCTATTTACTCTCTCTCTTGTTAATTCCACAGCAGATAGTGCAGCTTGCTCCCTCAAGAACTAATTACAAGTAGCAATTTATACAATCAGAGCATTGAAAACTAAGAGAATTAAGAGAAAATAAATCATAATCCATAAAATAAACCTACTTTCATAATTTTGTGTCTGGCACTACGTGTTTTAGCATGTTGCAACCACTGTTTATGCCTTTGAAAAGCTGATTTGCTTGAGAGGGCCTGAAACAAGAGGAAAAGTTGTAACTATTAAAAAAACAGGGCACCAGCTTGTGCACAAATAGCCTATAATATATGGAACCAGGTATACATCTTTGTAAGTACTTTAATCAGTAACCTGTGCGTCTTCTTTTCTTTCACAATTGACAAAATAGTAAATACATGTAATTCTCTTCAATAACAGATAAAATCACCTAAATCATGCAACAATACTCAGAATTTGACAGTCCTCGCTGCTAGTTTCAAGTTATTGAGGGAAAAAGAACAAGTATTACACATTTTTCCCATGCATAGCATATGTCTGATTCCCACAATCTAAACATTATCAAGAAATCATGCTTGAATACAAGTAATGGAGAAGTAATTTCCAACGATCAATATATACTAACGTTATACGTGATAATCTCTACAACTTCGGCATTGGTGAGTACATGCGTTGGAGAAACAAGATTACCATTGACCTGCAATGAGGTCAAGCATTAAACGTGGGCTTTCATTTACACTGAAACTGCAATTGGAAAAATTGTGCCATTAGATACAAAATACCTTAGCAGCTACCATTTTGTTTCCAAGGTCAGTGTGTATCATGTAGGCATAGTCAATGACAGTAGCCCCTCTAGGCAGATTTTTAATCTATTTATCACATAAATTATTTATCATAACACTTGTCATGATAGGCTTCTGTTAAATCTTTTAGCAGAAATACACATCGATAACTTTTAGTATGTGAATTACCTCTCCCCTTGGGGTAAATACAAAGACACGACTACCTAAGAGATCTCTGGTGATGGTATCCACAAATTCCCTAGAACTCATGTTGCCAACAAACTCCTCTTGCCATTCTCTAATTGCATTGAGCCACCCAACCTGGAGAAAAGAAAGGCTTCATCCGTAAATTTACATTCTTGTTAGGTGACTTTAGAGGGTATCTAGGAATCTCCTTCAGGATGACTCTTAATGAAAATTACTCAAGGAAACAAACTATACCCTGAGTGCTATGTTTGCATTGTTAAGGCAAACTGCCTTCCCTCTTGAACTTCTACCGTTTGGCTCTGCATGCCCAACTAGACCAGTAACAAAGACTCTCCCACTATAATGAGCAGCAATGCCTCTCTCAGCTATCAAATCCATCTCTTCAGTTCTAATCTGTAAGAAACCAACAATTAATAAAATATGCCAGAATTATTTTCTTTTCCTTTTTTATTTTTTTAAAGTTCAGACTATATTACAATTAGAATCACTTGTACATTCATCTCCGGTACATTACTAATATAAATAAATCAATAATGATTACTTCTGTAATAATGAGAAGATTCAAAATTGTTTGGAAACAAGTTGTGGATATCCTTGTGTTAAAAAAATATTTAAAATAATTTAACTAAGCAAAATGTTGCCTTGACAAATAGCTGAGAGGACCATTGAGAATTTAAGAACCTGAACTTCCAGGCGAAACATGCTTTCGTACAAAAACGGAATTACGGTTGTATGTAGACTTTGATAGCCATTAGGCTTTGGTGTTGCTATGTAGTCTTTCATCTGCTCAAAAGATAGGCGACTTTTACTGAATGCCAATAATCTAATATACAAAAGACACGTCGAATGAGGAGAAAGAAAATATACATACAGCTCGAGGAACAGGAGTCCAGATGCTATGAACTAATCCAAGAACATAGTAGCAAATCTGCTAAAAGAAATTGCAATTGTTACTCAAGTACAGATGCATTCTATCATAACCAAGTAATTCTGCATTGGCAGAATAATTCACCTGCTGTGGACTACAAAAAGGCCCAACTCCAACTGAAGGCTTTGGTTTTATGATTATACGAAGCTGATTTATAGCCAACAGGAATGAATGCGTCCATAAGAAAGAATAAACCATGAGAAAGAGTTCCATACTACATGTCAATGGTTCAAGGAAGCATCAGAACAAACCTGGGCAATTTGGTTAACCTCACTGATTAAACCGTTGGATTTCAGCACAGATTTGTAAATACTGTGATACCATAACAAAAATTACAAGCAAGCAAATTATCACTCAAAAGCCACCAAAAAAGCCTTAAAAGTCATCATAAAAAGAGGTGAAAAAGGTATCAGGGAACAGAAAATTAGCTGCTGGTATTCAAAGCAACACCATATTTGATATTGATATTCAAAATGATATCTTGCATCTCACTCACTCAATCTGTCTTTTAGAATCAGGAGAAGTAAGAAATAATGGGTCCCAGATTCCCATTCCCACAAAACTTAGAGCCATGTGGTAGGCAATTCTATGTCGAATTACTCTTCCATAGTCCCCACTGGTTCAAT